CTAAAAAGAAATTGATAGAAACTTCCAAGAATTAAATATAAAACTATGTATCCATAAACCTAATAAGCTCAAGAGAGACAAAGAACGTGAAATATGAAGGGACGTACAAATAGGTATGTTCTTTTTTGTTTGTTTATTTTCTTATGTGTTTAGTACAGGGTCTCACTACATAGATTGGACTCATAGGGATCCTCCTGTGTTCAGTCTCCCAAGTGCTAGGATTGCAGGCATGCGTCACCAGGCCCAGTCTTAGCCCTGGGGGTGGGGCCAGCACAGCATGTGGAGGATCGAATCCTGGTCCCTGCATCTGCCTAAGCAGGCACTTTAGTCCGCTGAGCTATCTGGCCAGCCCTGGTATGTTCCAGTTGAAGTGCTCAAACTATGATTAACTTGTCCTAGTGATAAAGACATAATATTATAGCAGCAAAAAGAGCAGCACACAGGATGCACAGAATGAAAACCAAGAGCAACAACAGATTTCCTCAGAAATAATGCAAGTAAGAAGACAATGGAGCGACATTCTCAAAATACAGAACATAAATAAATGGTACATTTATGATTCTATACTTACTAAAATATCTCTCTGAGATGAAGGTGAAATGTATTTTGATTTTTATTTTAAAGAATAAAAGGAGCAATATAAATGATACAGAATTTCAAAATAAGATGCTAGGAAATTAACAAGAGTTATTATATTACATGTTGTTATCTTTAAAGAAATTGCTTAGATTACTAGAGATAGGCATGAAAAATTGATCAAACAATATAATCCTTAACTGTTCCTTTAATTGACTAATATAAATTAGTAGTACAATTATCTTGGCTATCTTGAATATCATATATTAATTATTTTTGCTTGCTTCTTGTTCCTTTCCACATATTTTCTCCCTAGTGTAAGAAACTGAAAGAACAGATAAGACCCAAAAGGTACAGTAGATATTTGTGAAAGGGAAAGAAACTACTCAAAGGGAATTAACAAGTTGTGATGGGGGAAAGGAAATACAACTTTTAACACAAAAAATGAAAGAGTTTGTCACAGAACTTCACTCTAAGAAATGTTTAAAATAATGTTTAGCAAGAAGCAAAATAATAACAGATTGAAATGTGATATACTCAGGAAAGGATTTCTAACAATAGTAATGACATTGATACATACCTAAGTTTTTTTCTGATCATTTAGTTCTCTTTAAAAATAAACTGATAACTCAAATAAAAAAGCTATCATAGTAAAAGTTTGTACCCATAGTTACCTGTATGATAATGACTTTGAAATATTTATGAGAAAAGGAAAAATATTATGGTTCTTGTACTACATGCAGAGTGGTTTCCTATAAGGTAGAATGTGGTCATATGTAGAAGCTTTTAAAATAGTGACAAAACAAAAGTATATCTAACATATCCAAGGAGACAACATGGAATCATACAAAAATATAAAATAATCCAACACAGGCGAAAAAAGAAAAAAGAACCTAAAATAGATGGGACAAATAGAAAATTACAGGATGATAGGTTTAAGCCTAATCATATTAGTCATTGTGCTAATAGCACCTATCCTAAATACTCTGAACTCAAAGAATAGAGCCTCAGATTTGAAACCTGTGACCTTACAAATGGAGCACATGCTACACAAAGGATGAAACAGAAGACAGGAGCTAACAGAGTGAAAAAAAAAAAAATGCACCATGAAAATGCCCATCAAAGAAACACTGCTGTGACTTTGTGAATGTCATAAGGGATAAATTTTAGTCCAGGCAGATTGCACATGCCTGCAGTCCTGACACTGTACAAAGCCAAGGCAGGAAGCCCACACCTTTATATACATAGTAAGTTCGAGCTGAGCCTGGAAGCCAATGAGGCCCAATGAAAGCAAAACAGAACAAGCAGCGTTATTAGGATCGAGGAGGCATTTCCCACTGTGCAAGTGTGCAAAGTGTCATTTCATCCTTAGAACTACTGTATGTGAATTCTTATGTAGCAAACAATAGGGCTGCAGCACACACAAACCAAACATCGATACAAGGGAAAGGAGAAAAAAATACACAGTTATAGGCAGGAAATGCCAATAGCCTTTCTCAATAATTAAGTCCATTTGTTGTTCATTTCTCCTCCACGTTTGCAGTGTGCCCTGGTCACGACTCTGGGGGCTGACCCATGCAGTGGCACACCTGTATGCCTCTGTAACAAGAGTTCCTCTTTTGGAACATGGTCACAGGACAAGAAGATCCCTGCAGGGCTTTCAGGAAGCAGGGAGTAGTGAATGGAAGAAGCACAGACTTAGGGCCAGGTTGACTGTCAGGCTATCAACCCATGCTGAAGTTTCATAAATTTAAGGAGCGCTTTATCCTTTGGCAGACTGGAGTTAGTGTAAGAGGCCGTCCTCTCCAGATTTCAGGGGGAAGCAAGCTCCAGCTAACACAGGGAGCGTTTACAGGAGAGTCGAGTAAGTATGTGAAAGATAGCTAGTGTTGTGGCCCCAGTACATTTATTTCACTTTACCCTGTCCACTGTCTTGCTCTTGGTATGTGAGAGGGCACTCTCGACATGTGGAGAACGTTTGATGAACGGGAGGTGTTGCGAGTATGTGAGCAGAGGGCCCCCGACTAATGCCAGGTAATTTTGCAGGGAAAGTCAAGCAAGGACCTGGAGCAGTGGGGCTGGGTGGTAGAGGAGACTGTGTTGGGGAGCACCGCGGGGCGGCACGCGGAGCAGCCGCAGGGGCCGCTCACCTTCCCTCGCCTATCGCATCTTGCGTGTTGACGTTCATTGTCTATGTCTACATCTCATGCACGTAAAACTCTACTTCCAGGTCTTCAACTTTTTTACACCTGTTGCCTAGTTTTATTATCTAATGGATCTTCTGAGCCCCTGTATCTCAGATGAGAAAAAGTGAGGCGATGATAGTTTTTTTATTAAGCTTCTAATCTGAAAGTTCTTCCCAAGATATTTGTAACCAAATGGTAACCGCGGGTGATTTTTTTTTACCCTTGAAATAACAAATACATTCAACCATATCTTCCCATTTTCAGGCCGTGTCCCTCCCTGATAATCCTGCCTCTAAATTGGAAGACTGGCTTCTGTCCCAGGGAGGGGAATCAGGTGCAAAATGCCAGTGTCTGTGTAAGAGACGTGATGTCTGTCCCCAGCTTTGCGTGAGCAGCCTGCAGGGTCAGGGAACTCCTTGTGTGGACGTCGCTGTTCCCTCTTCAAGATCATCTCCTGAACACACAGTGTTACCTGCGTATACTGTGGGTCAGCCCTGGGTGTGTTCTCTATGTTCATTCTTCTCACACCTGCAGCTTAAAAGAAAAAGTACTGAATGCTTCCGCCATTATTCTTGAAGATGCTCTAAGACAATGGTTGTAGGTTTTACTATAATACAAACCAGCTAAATATGCTGAATGTAAAACAATGCTAGAAATATCCTAAAGAATGAGAAATAAAATATCCTAAAATATTCTTAAAGAGTACAAAAATAAGAGATGAGACATTAGAAACAGTACACATTAAAAAAAATAAAAAAACAAGATGGGGCTGGCCAAATAGCTCAGAGGATTAAAGTGTTTGTAAGTAGACTCAAGGGCAGAGGTTCCATCCCAAGCCTGCTTGCTGACCCTGACTCCTCGCCTCCCCCAGGCACACTGAGTTGGCAATTAAGACTGGGCGTGGTGGCACACACCTGTAATCCCAGCTCTTGGGAGGCTGTAAGCAGGCGGATCACTATGAGTCCAGTCTAGTAGTGACACCCTGAACACCCTGTAGACCCTTCCCTAAAATACAAAAACAAACAAATAAATAAAATAAAAACTAAAAAAGCAAAATGGAAGGTATTCAGCAGTGGTTATTATATTGTACGTTGCTATCTTCAATGTAGTTCCTCGGATTATAAATATTAGCATACAAAACTGGTCAAAGTAAAAGCTTTAAACATTAATTGCTATGCCCAAAAACTAAATTAAAAAGGATAAGAACGATAAAGAAAAAACTAAGGTTTTTTGAAAGGAAGAGTCACTGTTTAATTGATCAGTCTTACATGTCTGTATCTGGTAATCTGAACAACAAACTTGATGATAACAATACGTAATGTAGCAACCATTGTTCATATTCTATCTCTGTTTTGAAATTCTTTACCATTTTTATTGTTTTATGTTGCTATTTGTCTTTGTTCTTGTCATTCATTTTTGTTTTTGTTTTTGTTTTCTGTTTAAAATAAAATTTAAGGGCTGTCGAGACAGCTCAGCAGACTAAGTGCCTGCTTTGGCAAGCGCGGGGACCAGGGTTCTATCCCCACTCCCACATGCCATGCTGGCCCGCCCCCAGGGCTTGCTGAACCAGCCACTAAGTCTGGGCATGGTGGTGCACACCTGTAATCCCAGCACTAAGGAGCTGAAAACAGCAGGATCACTAGGAGTCCAAGCTGAGTAGTGAGACTCAGTACCAAATACATTAAATAAAAAAAATAAGATAAAATTTAAGATATTTCTGAAACAGGAGTGGCATAAAAAATGTACCAAGTTCAATATCATTTGTCATAAATAAATACTGTCAACCAACAACTTTACATATTATTGAGACCTTGATAGGACAGCATTTTTGTAAAAAATATACAAAGCAGGTGTGGAGCAAGACAGTAAATGAGAGAGAAACAACAGAGAGGTCTGGTCATAAAGACCAGTTTAGCTGCTGGCTCCTTTCTATCTTCAGGCTCTGTGTGTCTATATTTTGATTTCTTTATATAGTACTTAGTGCTCAATTTCCTGTTTCCCTTTTACTCGTGCACTGCTGGCTTCCATGGGTTTATTTTCAATCGGTTCTATATTTTCACTCTGCCAAAGCTTCCAATGTCTTACGTCAGGAGGGGAAAAAGGGGGGCCCTTATTACCTTCTTGTCTACTTAACATTTTCAGGTTTTTTTCCACCCTCTCTCCTTGTCTTGTAACTAATGAGCAAATGACCTAAAAATAGACTCGCTCGTCACCCTACAAAACGTCGTCTCTCCCCAGATTGGAGGTCAGTGTCATTGCAAGAGACGCGTGTCTGGCAGACAATGCGATCGGTGCTCCGCCGGATTCCACAGCCTGCAAGAACAGGAGCCTGACGGCTGCCGCCCCTGCAACTGCAGCGCCCCGGGGACGGTCGATGGAGATGTCACCTGTCACCCAACTTCAGGCCAGTGCAGCTGCAAGGCAAACGTGGCTGGTATGCGCAAGGCAGGGGTTTACAGTCACATCTCTATTTCCATCCGGAATAAAATTCTCTATTTGATTTCTTAACTGAAGAGTAAAGCAAATTTCTTTGTTCAAGACAGGCTGGGGGAAGAAACAATTTGGATGAAATTAACTGTCTAAAACTGATTGAATTAATAATTCTATCAAACTACACTTTGAAGCTCGGTTTAATCAACCCTTTAGAAGTTTCTTTATTCTGCAGATGCACTGGTTCACAGGCCCCACCCTAATACTTTGTAGAAAAATATAATTTTCTTACTGCACAGATGTTTCTTTTACAAAATTAGCACTTTTTCAAAATGGTTTACACTTAATGAGTTCTGAGCAAATCATTTCCATGCTCATTTCTTTAATAGACCAAAATAAATGGAGTTTTAAAAAAATGTTCTGTGCTACAGGCTGCTTTGTGATAAATCTTTCCATTTTTTTCCTATTATATTTCTTTGAACTGTTCCTATGAAATGCAAAATAAGTCAACATAATTCTACAGATCATGTATATTGCCAGGGTCAGTTATAAAGGGCCACATAATTTTAATTTTGTAATTCAGTACCAAGCTGATTATAATAAACACCTACCTTTGGTGTTATTTATCATTTTTTTTATACAAGACGTGCTTTTTTGTTTGTTACTCCCACAGGTATTTTTCAGAAATTAGATTTGATTATAGCAATTTATTACATCCAACAGTTTTGAGGGGAACCACTGCCACATAAGGACAAAATTTATCAAGTGCCCAAACACACCATGTACATAATGCACTTTGAAACTTTGATGTATGAGAATATTATGGGAGGAAAGTTTCCTGATGGAGTGAGTCCTGTGTTGGCACTGAACATGCCTTGGCTCACACAGGACATTTAAAGAGGACCTTTGCCTTTCTATTGTCGTTTAAGTCGCCAAGTCATC